TTTTTTCTTTAAAAACTTGTTCGCATTATAGTATCACGACGCATTTTGGGGTGGATGCGGGTTTCGCGGCGGCGGCGGCGGGTTGGCGATTCCCAATGATACATGATGCCACAACATGATGGCATCACGTATCATTATAAACATCGATAGCGCCAGGGACTTTCCGCGCCTTCTCCCTCCTTCCCCGCGCCTACGAGTATTCCCCGCGGCCCCCTCTAGCCCCATGGCTTAGAATATACTCCCATAATATACCTACTCACATCCACACATATAATTACAAATTTTTCTGTATTTAAATCTAGGTTCGTACTTATGTAGTTCGTACTTTTGTAGATCGCGACACACACACACACACACACACACACACTTTTTTTTATGTATGTGTACTCATATGAGATGTGTGGATAGATGAAATAACAGGCTTACTGTTTAGCTGCGCGGGAGTACCTGGTCCACAAAACCTCGGGTGGATATTGCTTGATGCTGAGAAGACTCGTTGTCCACACAAGAACGCCAGGAGAGTATCCAGTGAGTCAAGACTTTGGATGGTCTCAGAGAGCACACGGCGTAATTGAACACTGAGACCAAGACTTTGGTTTGCACGAACTGACGCGAATTGAAATTTTTTTGTGTACATGAACTAGATTAGCTTGATTTTGGTGCTAACGTTCTGCATTTTCGCGAGATTTTCGCTTTTATTTATATCTCGAAAAAGGGCGTAGTTTTTGTCTAGGATGCAATAATTAATTGCAATGTCACGCGAGATTTACGATTTTTATAGCGTTTCTTCGTATAGCGATTCTATCGTTGTTAATCTAAAGTGCATCGTTAGAGGAGTTTCGAGAAGAAAAGAAATGATTTACGTTTTTTCTTTAAAGAGACAAGATTGTTCCAGACGGATGACGAATTCTGTTATCCTCGCGGAAAATATGGCTAGGTAAACAGATCGTTACAACTAGTTTTGCGTGCAGGGCAACCATTGCCAGTCGCGATCCGATCTTAGATAACGCTACCGTAGGAAATTATCCCATTTTTATGGATGTTTTAAGTGACGTGACGCCTATTTTTTTTTTAGATGAAATTATTGGTCAATCTGAAATGACAAAGCTTGAATTTTTACTATTGCGTGACTTCGGTGCATTTATAATGGCTTTCACAATCTTGTCACTTTTCGAGCCTTAAGATTGTTATTCCTTCCGGATTGATTCGCGCTTACGAGTTTTCGCGGAGCTTGTCCGGTCCTTTTTGTTCTGTCCTTTTTACTGTCAGATCATCAGAGGATTCGAGTCTCATAAACGCCAACGTAGTCGCGACGTGAAGCCGACTCTTTTGAAAGAAAAGAATCGTAGTATCGTCTATAAGACGTAATACACAGAAACATTTAAGATCCAGCGAGACCATTTAAGGCTTTGCTATTTCTATAGTTTATGTTGTCACATATACGGTCTTAATATATTATATTTTTTACAATTTTAATGTCATCTCTGTTTATGAAATTATTATGAAAATATTATAAAATATATATTATATTGGTTTGCCCCGTGAGATGTAAGTAAAGCTGATATTATCAATTTTATAACAATAAAGTTAGGTTTCACTCTGTTATCGCTACTTAAATACATGAATCTCATGCGATCTTGAAACTGTTGCCAGCAATCGATGTCGAAATAAATTCCGTCCACGTTGTGTCCGCTCAATTTTACAAGAGGTTTGAAGATTCTTTCGTTTGTTTTTTTGTAATCCTACGTGAATCATCTTCGTATGAGAATTGTTAAGACCATATGTTGTTGCTAATGACATATGAAATCGAGCGTTTCTTCATCATTATGTATCTTGAAAGAATCGGGGATGGAGTACATTCCCATGTCCGAATTATTATTAATATTATTAATATTTTTTGGACTGGCCATTGTTCTTACACCACAGTAATACCAAATTCAAGTAACCAAGATGGCAATCAAAAATACAAGAAGCATAGTATTTGTTTGCTCGCGAAGCTGCGGATAACGAGACTCGAATGAAATTTTTTTCGATTATTCGGATTTTCGATAATACCGTCAACATCGCTTCCCTCTCCAACTTATAAAATTATTCTGCGCGCATAGATGAAAAAAATGAAAAAATAAATTGTCTCTACATTTTTCTTAAAAATTTTGAAATAATCTATACACTATAAAAGTCAAGAGAGGAGAAGAGTGAGATAAAACGAAAACAAACAGGAATGAAAAGGAATGTTTTACAATTCCTCTTCTGCTTTTTTTATAAAATGACAGTAGAAGAAATTTGACCAGCCGAAAAGAGAAAATTTTTTTCGCAATAAACTATAAGGGAAAAAGAATTGATTTAACTCGGGGGTAGTTTCTAACGAATAAGAAATAATACATCAATAACGATCGAGTTTTTTTAAAAAAACAAGAAATTTATGAAGCATCTTTGATTTAAAATACATTTACGATTGGGTTTATTGCTTTTTTAGAAAATTCATTAATGTTTAAAAAGACAGAAATACGACAAAAAAAAATGTTAAATTGAGTTGGGTAATGGTAATACAGAAAAATTTTTTCATCTTTCTTTTTTCTTTTGTGTATACTCCTAAGGGAAAAAATAACGTGTAGTATACAAAAATTTATAGAATACAAAAATTAAATATTAATTGTATTGATAAACGTGAGAAAAGTTTTAAGCGAAGGGAATTATTTTCAATGTTCGCCATGATTTTTTCCTCGTGACGAAGCAAATCTTAAAGAAGAGAAAACCAAGTGATATCGTTGGTCAAGCAAAATATAGGAATTTCCATTAAAATTATATTTTTTCGTTTTGTTGAAAGATTTATTGTTTATCAATCATAGACTTAATATTGCGTGAGAATCCTTTCAAGTAAGAAGATACATAAAAACAGAAGGAAAAATTTAAAATATGAGATTCATCGTAATAATAATTTTATAGTGTGACAAAAACTTTTTTGGATAATAATGAAAACGAGAACTAAAGGTTTTAGGATAAATACAAAGGGAGTGATGCTTTTCGAGATAATTTTTATAGGAGAGAAATGGAGCTAGATTAGATATGGGGTTGGGATTAGATATGGGGGCATAACTAGAAAATTTTTATCTTCTACTTCTCTAAATTTTACAAGAAAATCATTTTTAATAATGGAAGCGACCAATTATCAAAATTGTTAAAATCTATCACTGAAGGGACTAGAAACTTTTAGCGATTCTTTTCAGGAGAGGAATTTATGAATATCGCTACAAGCATAAATAGCACGCACTGATCAAGTTAAAGTTTAGTTCTGCGTTCAGATCCTGAAGTGAATTGATTTTACACTGACTATTTTGCGAGTTGTTTATATTAATTTCATATTTAAAAAATGGAACTTCGCGAGCAACTTGAGTCACTAGCAACGAGTTGCTAGCAACTTGAATAAAAAATTAATTACTGCTGATTTTCTAGCAAAGTTGTCAAATAATAAAGGTAAAAAAAATTATTCAATTTTCGGAAATTTCATTTCCGAAATTTCATTTTTGGATGAATTCTTCAACACATTAGTGTGCATTATACACAAACTAGGACATTGTGATGGTGACGACATCACATAGCTGACTTCAAGTATTGGACTGGAGAGGGTAAGCAGTAATAATTTCAAAAATAAAATCGAATATATATTAGCATTAATAATTAAATTATAATATTTATTTCATAGAACCGAACTGTATTATAGATCAAGCGATAGTCAAGCGCAGGGGGCATCCAATAAGACGACTTAGATAAAGCGATCACCCTATGAGAGAAAAAGAGGAGGGAGTAAGTATCAGCGAGTAAGTTTTGGGGAAATAAATATTAATTAAATGTTTATAAAAATCTGGATTAAAATATTTTTTATTAAAATATTTTATTTTTTTCTAAGAAGAGCACGAATTAAATAGAAAATAATGTTCCGCCTTCATGTGACATTCGTATCATTCGTATCATAATTGGTAAATATTTTACAAATACGCAAATAATATAAGGTTCTATGAGTATAATACATGTAGAATTAAATGAGAGCAAAGAGTCAACAACAATAAATAATAAAGAACATAATATAATAAACAAAATAATAGCTATAATGATTACAAACGTTTCGATTCCGGAGTTATTATCAATGTTACAAAATAAAAGTGAAAAACTTAAGAATAATCAAATAAAATACATTAGTTCGTTTCTTGTTAACTGCTTAAAAAATTCCGTTGAACGAGTTTTTGATTATCTTTCAAGTACTAATATCTACGATAATATCCAATTAGTACTATAATATTCAATTTTATCTTCAACAATAAAATTTATAAACAAATTTTTGCGACACTTATGGAATCATTCTTGTCACCAGTTGTTACGGATAGTTATACAAGATTTCGAAAACATTGCGATACAAAAATTATCAATTCATTTAACATTTTATTATAAGTATGTAGATGATATTACCTTGACAGCTCCGTCTGAAAGCATTGATGAAATTTTGAACACTTTTAATTCGTTACATAATAGATTACAGTTTACTGTCGAAGTTGAGGATGAAGGTAAAATAAGTTTTTTAGACACTTTATTAATTGTGAAGGGGCAGAATCTCATTTTTGATGGATTTCGCAAGGCAACTTTTTCTGATATAGATACCTCAATTTTCACTCAAACCATCCTATGTGTCATAAAAGAGGTATAGTATACAGAGTAGTTGATAAAATATTTCGATTATATCATCCGAGTTTTCAGCAAAACAATCTAATAGCCATTAACATTTTTTTAAATAATAGATACCCATTACATTTTATTTTTTCAAGTATTCATAACAGAATTAAATTTCATATTAAAAATATATCGAATGACAAAAATGTCAATCAATAATAATAAGTTTTTTACTATTCCATTTGTTAATATTATTTCAGAGAAATTTAAACCTATAGGGCAATATGTTAAATTGCAAATTAGCTTTTACAATTCTTAATACGTTAAAAAATTTTATTAAAAGAGGCAAGATAAACTAGTAGAACATGATAACAATCAAAATGTGGTATACAAAATTTCATGTGACGATTGTAACGCTAATTATGTTGGCCAAACAAAAAGACAATTGAAAACAAAAATCCATGAGCATATTACAGATATTAATAAAATTTAAAATAATTTCTAAATTCCTGATGGTTATTTCTAATCATTGCTGAGTTTAATCATAATTTTAAATGAGACAATGTTGAGATAATGGATATAGAATCGGCTTACAACAAAAGATTAATATCTGAAATGGTGCACATTAAAAAGCAGAAACATGGCATTAATAAGTAAAATGAAACGAACTCACTACTAAAAATATTCCAATATGATACATAGTTTTTCCTTTTCTTAATAATTTTCTTTCCTTTCCCTCCTTTTCTACTTCTACTATAACCGTGTTTTTCTTCTTGGCATTGCGTTATCTGACAAGACGGAAAGAAGTTGTCTTCATTTTAATTTTTACGATTTACGTTAAAGGATGGAATACGAGTATAATATTGACTATTAAACGAATATTTTTCTCTCTATCAACTAATATATCATAATTCGGATAACACAAGGTATATTTTAGACTACAATAGACATGTAATTATAATTGCGCTAGAAATTTTTTGTTCTACTTTTTCTTGTATTTTTAGAGAATAGTTTGTCAAATGATTTGACTAAATTAACAACATGACGAACTCTAATTTTTTAAGCAGTTAACAAGAAACGAACTAATGTATTTTATTTGATTTATTCTTAAGCTTTTTACTTTTATATTTTGTAACATTGATAATGACCCGATCGGAATCGAAATGTTTGTAATCATTATAGTTATTATTTTGTTTATTATATTATGTTCTTTATTATTTATATTGTTGACTCTTTGCCCTCATTTAATTCTACATTGTATTTTACAAATAGCCGAAAAATCTAGTTCATATAATATAAATGTAATGCGACAAAGAATAAAATCAATTTTGTTTTAGATGATGATAATGACGACAACAATGATTGGAATGATGATTTAAATCCATCTGATTCGATTCGAGCACTGGTCTCTTCAGATTTCACCATTTCCATAACGTGTAAGTTCTTTAAAAAAAATAAGTTAGGCGAATATAGAGAATTAGTTATGTGTAGAGTTCATAAACAATAATAATAACAAAATTACTTTTTAGCGCAGGAAATCGAAGAAGAGCGAGAGGAATTAACGCAGGAAGAAGTAGAGTCAGGAGAGGAGGAGGAGGAGGAGGACGAGGAGAAGGCGGAGGAGGAGGGGGGATGGAGAGGAGCAGAAGGAGGAGAAAGACAATGAGAACATTAACGATGACAATGTCGATGATGGTGTCGATGATGATGATGATGGTGCTAATAATGAGGAGGAGGACAACATAAATGTTGATAGTGTTAATGACAACAGCGATGATAGAAAGGAAGAGGAAATACGTGATGAAGAAGAAATAACTCAAGAGGCAATAGAGGAAGAAGAAGAAAACAGATATTACGCACTTCTTGAAAATGAAGATAATAATATTTTTATTTTAAATTTGTTGCTCGGGATATTTAAGATATTTTTATCAGATATTTCATATTCCCCTGTTCTGCCTATGTTGCTGGAATATTAAATTTTACAAAAAAGAAAAACATTCTCCCACACATAATCATGTAAACAACTATAGGTGAGTTATCTTGCTATGTTGTAATATTACGACTAGTAGTATAAATTTCTGACTTAATATATAGCAATGTTATCAGATTGATAAGATTTAACTTTTTTTTACAATACAAACTGGCGATGGTACTGACCATCGACACGGTTGCTTCTACAACGCGACATACAAGAGAAGAAAACGCTTCCTTGGAAGAAGAATTTTCATAAAATTTCGAGGACTCCATCAACGATGAACAGCAGCAGCAACGGTTACAGGCACATTATCAGAAGGAAAATAATCAATATCAGCAGGATCATCATTGTCAGCAAAAGGTTAGAGATAACTTCGCTTTTATTGAATTAAGGAGGGTGGAAAACTCGCGTCCGTTTAAGAATTTTACAATATTAGGGAGGCAATTTTCGCGATACGTCCGCTACCCGAAAATAGTGATATCGTTCCTTGGATAGAAAGCGCGTTCCAAAATCCGGGCGTATGCGCTACATTCGTGCGAGCCGAATGATTACATAATTTTTATGGCCCGTTTTATGTAGTTCTATCTTTTTATGACACTGTCTATTGCCAATTCTAATGAGATGTTAATAAAAGGAGGAGTCACATCCAAAGAAATCATCATATTCAATAATTCAATCCAGTTAAAGATTCATAAAGATCAAAGCTATTTTTTATCTGACTTCTTGTAGGAAGGATTACTTTTGGAAATGATATTTTTGTAAGAATGTAGCTATTGGATATAAGGATGTATTTATAGAAGACACAATGATCCTAAACGGAATATTATCCTTGTGTATCTTCGATAATCCAGAAGTTTTTGACAAATTTGAGACTAAATCGGAGACTAAAAAATTCCTTATCTGAAATGAATTCCTTTTTATGCCAGTTCTTTAACATATTATTAAGTTGTCTTTCCAACGTTAGTGTCGGATTCCTTTTTATCATAGAGTGTCAGTGTCATTTAGGAGTTCATGCATTTTCTGATTGTAAAGCCATGCATTCCACCGTCACATTATCAGCATGTGAAAATCACATCATTATTCTCTTTACACCATTGTGTTGTGTATTTAACCATCTTGTTAATTTTCATTTCATTATTCCTCAACTGTGGACTATTATGAAGAATTCTATAAGTAATCGTAATAAGATCCCTTCTAATAACAAATTAATTGATAACTTAATCTAGGGCAATTAGAAATCCGCGCTATAATTGTGCGCTTAAATTACTGGTCCTCAGTATATTGGAATGTATTTAAAACATAATTGAATATAAGAAGTACGTTTCGGTTCTATTCTAGCCTTCTTCAGCTTGACATCATTTATATTCGAAAATACAATTGCACACATGGAACCTTTGATCTCCCAATGATTATCCATGACCAGTGATATGCTGGATGGTCTCTTGGGGATCATATTATGAAGAAATCGATGAAAATCTGGGATAGCTATATTCCTAATTTTGATTAGATGATCAATTTTATTTCGAAACGAACAACTTTTAATATCTTTAATGAATTCTTTTATCGTATGTACTTTATTATGAGAGTCCGGAAGGCTAAATTTAGTACCCATTTGTAATAAATTAGAGACCATTGATGGAATATCTCTGCCAGTTAAATTAATGAACCATTTTTTGTTTGTCTAATCTAATGAGTTTACAGAATCAACATTAAATTTATTCACTTTAATGTTAATATTAACAAGAGACTCATTCGATCCAATAATTGGCGTAACTTCGAATTTTAATTTCTATTAAAGATATCATTCGGTGCACAGTACTTCCTTCGCGCGATCTCTTTCATTTTGTACTTCCATACCGCGTATAAGGCAAATTGTTGTTCAGGTTGTGTCGTAGGTGCTGCGAAACATTGTCGCAGACCGAGTGCATTCACACTCTCCCCGCCGATCATAAATCGCCAATTGTGATTCGTAGGTGCATAGGTATTCTGCAAATTGCGCAAAGTTCTCAAGAAAGGTTATCTCGTGACGAATATGAGAAATGGCAATTTAGAATGACATGATTCGATCCTTGTACGAGGCAAGATGATTTGTTTGCCGAATATATCTCAACAGTTTTTTTAAATTAAACTTTAAATTAAAATAGGAAGCTAGCAGATGACCAATGCCGAATGCCAGGATGATGAGAGAATAGGGATAATAGAGTAGTCTAATCTATGGGACTAAAGGGCGGCGCGGAGAAGAGGGCAGCGTGAGGAAGATCTCCGGTCGATGAATTACATAAACATGATGACATTCCGATATGTGTCCGTATTCTTTTTGTCATCCGTCGCCGCCCGCCACATAGTCTCAGGCATTTTATTCGCACTTTTAGATTTTTGTTTGAAACACCATACGTGGGAAATTTTTGGTCACATATATGTATGACTGATCTTTAATTGTCTGTTATTTTAGTATGAGCTTACATTTAATTTTCGCTTCACGAACGCTCCAAACTTCAATCATAAGAAAGATAAATTAAGATAAATAAATAAATAAATATGAATATTAAATATTAATAAATTAAGAAAAATTTTTTTAGAATGGCTGCAATATAATGCAGTATTCGAACACAAATTAAGGCCATTCTTTTGCATGTATATAAAGGCAATTTCGGAAATCTGTCTTTTGTTTGGAAATTTTTCTTTGTTTAATTTGGACAAGTTCTCCCAATCAAAGTCATGTGTAAAATTAATTAATTCGATGTTCTATAATTATAGATTGATTATTGGTATTCCAATTGATATGATTGCGATGTTCAGATATTCTGCTGAACAGTTTCCTGCAAGACTTCTTACTTGTTTATCTAACATAGGACATATCGTAATCCTTACAACAAATCCTTACAACAAATAAACCACATTTTTATTACAAAATTTTGGGAGGACGTCCTTATGTACTTTGATGAAGTTCTTTAATTTGTTGCGGCTGCAAAATACTAACCTCATATTAGTGTTTTTACAAATATAGAAAACTTTTCTGCAGTAAATGCCGTATACAATAGTAAAAACTAAGAGACGATATTCGTCCAATATTCGTCTCATCATTATAATCATTTTCATTAAGCAGGATTTCTTAAATAAATATTTATTTAATTATACTGATAATCTGCTATCAAATTATGTCGCGATAAGTTCTAATAGCAGAATAGATCTTACTAATGATGGGCTGCTTTTTTGAGTAAGTTAAATAATTTTATTAAATAATTTTCAACGGGAAAAATAATTATACTATCAAACGAACAAGTGACAAATAAGGTGCTTTTAATCAAATTCTGCATTTCAAAATTCATTGCCAGTACTGAAAATCTTCAATTTTCATTAAATGCATTATAGATAAATTATCAGCATTGGCAGTGAATATCAGATCATAGTTAAATTTTAAACATCATGTTTCATTCATAAGATGCTGCATAATCTTTATAATAATATATAATAATAAAGAAATTGATTCTAATATATACTCTTAGTACAAAATGTAATGATAGAAAATTTTACAAATTTTATTTATTTATTATTAAGTACGAATCTTTAATTTCATGATTGTAATATATTATGAATAATCGATTTGAAAAATAAATGGATATTCTAATATTAATTTTCTGTTAACTATTGGGTTGTCCGGAAAGTTCGTGCTGATGTTGAAGGAAAATTGAAACGCAGAAAATTTAAATTTTAGTATACATTTATTAAATTATATAGATTAGTCGGCACGAACTGTCCGGACAACAATACAATACTAAGATTAACGCTGATTATTTATTTTTCAGATAAATATTTATTTTACAATTGTTACATTTATACATCACGTATAAAAAAAAATTTTCGCATTTTATATCGAATTACATAAATTACTTCAACATTTTATTGCTCGTTATTTCACAACTTTAATATGCATCTTCAATTTTCTTAAAAGTTTCGTCCATCTGCAACGTGCTTTCGTCTATCTTGCCTCTAAAAGTTTCTTCTATCTGTGTTTTCGTCTTTCCTCGTGTCTCCGGTAATACAATTATTAGAAAAATAGTGGCTATAATAGATATTATACAGTAAAAGTAAATGGTACCATTTCTGTCATGTGTTATCATTATTGGATATAATTGTGTAGCGATATAGTCGTATAGGAGAACGACAATGATGGTAAGAGGCCCGAGAAAGTTTATGTATTTGGTAGGATACAGTTCCGGAATCATCGACCAAGGCAACGGAAAGAATCCGTATGCTCCTAATGCCTACGATTTATAGATTAATTGTAAACTCTATGGCTAATTATAGCTATGACTAATATATTATTAGATTTTTTCGCGAAATTCAAAAGATAATATCTAAAGATCAATCTTTGGATCTAATAAATTGGATTTAAATCTCTAGAAATCATTTTCAAAAATAACTTTTATAAAAAGAAATTATGATTAGACGAAAAGAAATTGCAATATATTTATTGGATAAAATACTATAAATATTCTTTTAAAAATGTTATTTTCTTACCACATAAGAAAGGATGCAAATGAGGGGTACAACCACAACGCCAGTATCTTCAAAAAATTGTAGGTACACTACTAAGACACCTAAAGAGAGTGACATACCAGTACCGGATACAATCGAAATCGATCGACGACCAATTCTAATAAATGTGAAACCTTATTATAACAAAATTT